GGCCGGGATCGAACAAAGGCTAGGCTACAGGCGAGGTACTTCTGGTACAAAATGTCCCGGGAGGTAAAGGAGTATGTAAGGACATGCCCTACCTGTAGCCAGTGCAAGAAGTCGGTCAGATACGGCCGCAGTCCCATGAAGCAGTTCCATGCCGGGGTACCAATGGAGAGGGTCCATTTGGATTTCCTAGGCCCCCTGCCCAAGTCGTCTAAGGGGAACGAAAATATTCTTATGATGGTGGATCAGTTTACGAAGTGGGTGGAATGCATTCCCCTACCTTCACAGACCGCGGAGGAAACAGCCCGCGCCGCAATCGGGGAATTTTTCAGTAGATTCGGATACCCTCTCGCGATATTTACCGATCAGGGGAGGAATTTCGAGAGCCGCCTCTTTCAAGGGATTTGCAAATCCTTGATGATCCACAAGGCGAAGACAACCCCATACAGACCATCGGCGAATGGGCAGGTAGAGCGGTATAACCGCATTCTCATGGATGCGGTGAGATGCTTCATAGGGAAAACGCAAAATCGCTGGGATGAGTACCTTCCCCAGATTGCTGGGGCCATCAGGTCCACGGTCAACAGGAGCACGGGATTCACTGCGAACCGGTTGATGCTGGGCCGGGAAGTGAATCAGCCGGCAGACCTGTTGTATCCGGTGCCGGGGTCAGCCCCGCCCACTGAGGCTGGGGATTATCAGGCCCGGTTACGAAGAGCGACGGAGGAGGCACATGAGGTAGCGCGCTCGAAGCTGAAGTCTACTCAGAAGAGGTTGAAACGGGATTATGATGTCAATTCTTACCGTCGACAGTACAACCAGGGGGATTGGGTGTATGTCCTTGACTCCGCAAAGTTGAAGGGAGTTTGTAAGAAACTGAGCCCCCCCTGGAAGGGACCCGCCCGTATAGCGGAAAGGCTTTCGCCTGATCTATATCGGGTGGAACTCCGTAACATTATTTCGACAAGGCACCAGGACCGACTGAAGCCCTGTACAGATAGGGACGTACCTATCTGGAGTAGCAGGAGGCAGCGGCTGCAGCAGACTGGCATTTACTGCTTGTGCCGCAAGCCTGATGATGGGGATTTTATGATCCAGTGTGACGGTTGCGATGAGTGGTACCACGGTAAGTGTGTGGACGTCTCACAGAGTGAGGGGGAGGCCATGAAGAAATATTCATGTCCCCCTTGTCGGACCGAAGGTCAGGGGGGGCACTAAGTTGGGGAAAATTGGGATTATACTAAGTTGGTGGTAGAGTAATGGTTTCCCCTTCCCCTTTCTTTTTGTCTTCCTCACAGATGGATTCTACCGGCGGCAGGGAGCCGCAACCCCCGGGGACGGATCTCACGTACCAGGGGGCATTGGACCAACTAGTGGAGGAGGCGGTGCGGAACCGCCGATTGCCGTATCCGGGGGTTCTTACCCGGATGGCGCCAGATAGGGTGCCCTGGTCGGAGGTTCTCCGACAGTGTGACCTCCTATATCAGATGGCCTTGGAGCAAGAGGACATCGGATGGGTGGGGTGTTTACAGGAGTACCTCCTGGACAGCGTGCCCCACAGTGTGTTGTGCCTCCGTTATCCGGTGCCCCCCCCCGGGGAAAATATCTGCCCCCGGGACGATGAGGGCCAGGGGGGCTGGATGTATTTGGACCCCGAGGTGCCCTGGTGGAGACCGGAGATGGCACTAACTCATCGTGTCCCGGTTTCGATCGGGATACTGTCCCGGAAGTACCGGGAATGTTCCTCCCGCGAAGTGTGGGGGAGTGGAGCGTGTCCGACTCCCGGATTTTTCGCGGAGGAATGTGGCAATGAACCATCGGAGGACGAAGGAGTGCCGGGGGAACGCCCCGACACACCTCCAATGGAAACTGCCGCGCCAAAGGAGGGCAGTGGGAATGTAGGCAGTTGTGCCTCGGGAGGTTCGACCTCTTCCCCTTCAGGTAATGCGGACTCTTCCGCTACGCGGGATATCCCGTCTGCTTCGGGGGATCCGAACCCGGACCCAAGTACTCCAGGGAATTCGGAAGTCCCGATGGACGTCACCCCCGAAGACGAAGACGAGACCGATCCCGCGAACCGCCCTGAGGGCTATTACTCGTGGACCAAACCGAGGTCCCGGAAGGCGAGGGCAAAGGCGCGCCGCGAGGCTCGTCGTCAAGGCGGGCTCGGATCGTCAAAGTCACGCTCGGAAAGCCGGCATCGAAGCCGGGGGTCTGGATCTCCGGGGCAGTCCGCAGGCGCCCCGCGTTCGGAGAGCCTGCACCGTCCGATAGGGGCAGAGTCGCGGAGGTCATCCGCGGAAGCTCCGCACTCGGGGAGCCGGTACCGTCCCCGGGGCCCTGAATTTTCGAGGTCGCCCGCAGGAGCTGGGCACTCGGGAAGTTGGAACCGCGCCAGGGGGTCATCTGCGGGAGTTCCACGGCACGACCGTCCACATGAGGCAGCGGCACCGCGTTCTGGGGGGGTTCGCCGGCCCGGGGCGGGTGTCAAGAGGGGGTATGGCGACGATTTTGCTGGGGGGCCGTCCCACAAATATCGTCGGGATCGTCGACTTCGGGCTTGCCCGATCGCGGGATGTACCGCCCAGGTTGACCGTCTGAAATGGCATATCTATGACCATATGCCTGAATGTTTCAGATTTAGGATGGGAGGTAAGTGCCCTATGCCAAACGCGACGGCCCAGCAGGTTACGTGCCTCCGTTACTTGGCACGGATTCTGACTGGGTCAGAGAGTGTCCGGGGGCTGAAGGGATACTTCGAGCGGCGGCCGCATCCGTATGCCTACAATATCCCGGACCATTTTGAGAGGGAGGTCCGTCACCTTGCCTCGGCGGCAGGATGGTCGGTTCAGGCCACAATAACCGTGCTCCCCCCTAGCTCTCCGGCAGTGCTCATCCACTGGAGGATTCTAGAATGCTTCGTTGCTGATTTGACCACGGATCAATGGGCGGAGTTCCGCCGGTTGGGTCGGTTGCCTCGGGAAAGTGGGGATGCGCCACGACCACAGGCGGAGGGGACTCCGCAGCCGGAAGCGACTCCGCAGTCGGCAACAGCTCCGGGTGGTCCCGAGTCAGGTACCACAGGTCCCTTACCTGCCGGGTCGGGGGCTCCGGATAATTCCTCCTCTGAGCACGGGGAAACAGGAGCACCCAGGAGTTCTGAGTCACCTCAGGGGACGGGAGTGGCATCATCGCCGGCGGGTGGGGCGCCGCCTTCAAGACGACCAGGTAGTACCTCGGCGCCCTCGTACGCCAATAGGGCTCAGCAGCCCCACCTCCCTCGGGCTTTCGACAGCCACTTTCACTTAGATAGACTGGAGGATAGCCTTCGGGGGAAAAAGGGGTTGGAGTGCGTGTTGGCCACCCCAGGCAGGCCGCCCCGCATACCAGTGCACTTGTGCGGGGGGGTAACCAATTACATAGACCCTGGCCGTTTCGGGGACGTCAAAATACCAGAGAGCCCCCAGTTCCACGTGGCGGTGGGGATTCACCCCAAGCACGCCTCTAAGGTGGGAGAACGCGACGTGGACAGGGTGGCGGGCCTGGTATGTGGCAGTGGCGTGACGGCCATCGGTGAGATGGGGCTGGACTTCTCGGTCCCGTCTGACCGATGGCCAGCACAGCGCAGCTTGCTGCGGGCGCAGTTGCGCCTGGTGGGGCCAGGGCGGGTCCTGATCCTGCATCTTAGAGGAAATTCCTCAGACAAACTTGGAACTATCCCCTCGCAGGAGTGCAGGAACATGTTGCTATCCGCGGTCACGCGGCACCAGCGCATTCACCTGCACTGCTGCACGCTGGGGCCAGGGGAGACCGAGGCATGGAGGAAGGCATTCCCCCATGTTTACTTTGGGTATTCTCCCATGGTGCGGTCATTCTCCCCGGACCAGCAGGCTGCATTGAGGGGGGTCCCTCGGGACAGACTTCTCCTCGAGACAGACTCTCCCCACTTTGCGCCGGAGGGGGTCCGACTGAATACCCCGGCATATATTGGGGAGGTGGCCGAGATGGTGGCCAAGGCGCGGCGGGAGACCGTGCTCGAGGTTCTCGAGCTCACCGCCCGCAATGGCCTGTTTTTGTATAGGCAGCGGTAGGCTCCTGCCTGCCGAGCGGGGGGTGCAGGGGGGTGATGACAGTGTCCCCTGCATTGTTAGATAGGGAGTCGGATGGCTGACCCCTGCTACCCCGTGCGGGGTGTTACCGTACACCCGGCAGGGGGTGTCACTGACGCTATCAGTGACATCCTCTAGGGAACGGGTCCCTGGATGCCGCGCGAAGCATCATTAGACCCAGGGCGGACCTGGAAGAATATCGGTCTATCCTGGGTGAAGTGCCATTGGAGTCAGGGGGTATGAATCACATTGATTTAAGGCCCTGGTATCTTGCCGGCTCACAATGCGCCTGGGAGTTTTTCTTTTGGCATAAATTATTTTGGTTGGGTTTCCTTGTCCATTTTTACATTAAAAAGGGATACGGTTACTGGCGACATAACTTTTAACTTTTTTCTATTCCTTTTTATGGTTAGGGTGTTTTGAGTTTTTGGGTATTTGGGTTTTTCCCAGTTTTGAAGTTTTATCTAGTTTTTCTTCTTGTAGTTTGGCCTGTTGTTTTTCATTCAATATTCAGGCCTTTGTCACGGATTGTGATGCAGGGGGATTTTGGGGGTTAATTTGGGATTGATTTGGGGTTGAATTGGGTTGGGCTCTCCCGGGGACTAATTTTTTAAAACGGGGGGGAATGTAGCAGGCCATAAATATAGTGGAGCAGAGCAGCCAGAGCTAGCAGACGACAGGTGCCGCCCTCACCATTAGAGGGCGGCATTCCACTTCAGAGGCCAGCCGAGTTGAGCTACTGGCTACACCACTAGCTGCACGACCGGATTCTACCTCTTCAGCACTGACAGTAACCAAGTATCAAGCACCTATCCGGACCTGGAGGACGAATTACCCTCAAGGCCAAATTAGGTGAGTGAGTTATGGTTGCTTCTAACAAGTAGGCGTACAGCCTACTTTAGTCCTTTGACCGATTCTGCACAGGACTCAAAATCACCCTCGAGAAGAACCGATCTATCAGCAAAGCAAGGCAAGTACAGGTCAGAGGATCACGAAACTCAAAAGATGAAAAACAGCCGACCACTGCAACTGTGCGACCAAACAATGTCGTTCATCCGATGAGGGCAAAAAGTGCTCCACAACTTCAGGATGTTCCTACAAAACCGATTAGACAAATGAGGAACTCCCGATCATCTACTTCAGCACTTCCAGATGAAAAGAAAACGTCTAACCCACCTAACTATGCCGCGCACATGCAGAAAACTAAAGAAAAGTCACGGAAGTTCAGTGATAAATCTGATGACTTGTATTCCAAACACCAAACTCACATAGATGGTCCGGCCAATCCCACCTTGGCAGATAAGAAGCGTGTAGAAGCTACAATTAAAAGCTGGAAACAAGAAAAGCAACAAGGCTCCTCTCAATTCCAAAGACAACCAGATCTTATTTATGGCAGGAAACAAGAAACCAGTGTGTATGCTAAACCTCCACAAAGCTTTCCTGGTGAGTAGATCCAAATATGTGTTGAGTATTGTATTCACAATTCTTTTTAATTTTACATTTCTTTTTTTGTTGAAAAAGCTCATTTCATTGTCGTAAAGTAAAGGTTCACAGGAATCGCAGTACTCTATCAGAAGAAAAAAAGATGGGTCTTACTGATTTATATTTTAAAGTCAATGTTTACATGAAATTAACAAAATGAATACCTTGAATACCAAAGCTGAATAGGATCGTTTTCACAACGAGTCGTCAATTTATGGAATGCGCTTCCAGCTTATGTAATTGATAGCCCATCTGTGAACTCTTTCAAATCCAACCTGGAAAAAGCATGGAGAGCTAAATATGACATGTACAACCCTAAAGAAATGTTTCCTTGCTATTGCATGGTCCGAAGCTCCGACGTAGGCGCAATCCCCAGTACATAATCCTGCTGCAGAGGGTCATATAAGTAATTATACTTGAAGCCCAACATCAAGGTAAATCGAGGTAAATCAAGGTAAAGCTTCTGGAAGAAAACCGTCTCCATGAATATAATCAAACAAGACACCAAGCAAATAGACAATAAATGAATAATGCATGAAAAAAAATTAAATGGGTGCTTTAAAAAAAAATTATGACAATGTCATTGATAAAGTTATTCTTCTTCTTCTTTATATCATCGTTATCAATCGTCATTAATCTTATTGTTATTATTCATGTTATTATTAATACCAATGTAAACATATCATTTGTAATAGACCCATAGAATAAAATAATTGAGAATTGATACCCTTAAAAGTACACCATAATGAATGTATGCATGTTCTAATTTGAAATTAAACAAAGCTGATAAGTTAGGGGAATACAACCAAATAAATGTTGGATTTGGAATGCACTTACATGTAGCAGTCATGTTACTGTGCATTGTAAGAGTTCATTATTTCATAATGCTGCGTATGCGGTAACATGATGGTGATATTAATATTGATATTATTTTACATGTATACATAAAGAGCCATTTCCATTATGCAATAATTATATGCTCAATGCCCTGCTGATGACAATGTACAGTACATGTACATGTAGTTGCAATATTTGCACTTGTGGGTATGTCCCCACCCTTAAAACTGTCATCATTTTCAGTGATCCGTTTTTTTAATTCCCTGATTCCTTGGAGCTAGCATAAAGAGAAATATTTAAAGCTTTGGGTGTTAGGCTTCATTGTCTTTTTATTTCTCCTCTAAAGTTTTTTTCTTCACATTCCTCTGTTGATACTCTGCACCTTTGCAAATGATAGGCTTCTAAACTTTAAAGAAAATATATTTTTAGACTCTCTTCTGAACAATGCTCAATACCAGAAGACAAATGAAAACTTGTCTAAACCAAAACCCCCAGCTAACAAAAGGTTCATAGCTCCAAATAGTCAATGAATAGCTACTGGAAAAAGTCTTAGAGCCCTTGAAAAGTGCACCAAAGGTGTTTGAAAAGGCTTGTAATGAGTTGTAAGTTCAATGAGCATTGTGTAGATCCAACATTTCGTTGCCGTTACGCACTGTTGAGCACAGAGCTCCATCGCAATCCAAAAGGACCTCTGTACACTGTATATGGCTTCTTGTAAAGCTGTTTTAAAAAGAAATGAAAACTGCTGTTCCTGATGCGAAAGATAATCTTCTTTCAATTAAGAACCATTTAAGAAAATGATTGTAAAGAAGGATTGCTTCATTATTTTATCAGTGTACAGTACATGTTGATAATAGTTTTGTAAGAAATGTTTGAATTGACTTGACTTGAAGTAAAATCAGTTTTGGTACTAAAGTAATACATGTAATACGTACTTTGTTTTATCCATAATCTAGTTTCATTCAGCCAAAAAAGCATGCAATTCAAGACTAACCTACCTGTATATAAAGTTGTAGCCCAAACAATAGAGATTTTCATCCCAAACAAATCCTTGTTTCTTTTTATTTCAAATTGAAAGAACGCACTGCCACACGCGGTTTGTACTTACTTTCTTGTAATGGAAGGAGAGGGTTGCAAGACAAACTGACCATGAATAGGAGAGGTGTCAATTTGTTCAACTTTGTTGACAGAGGCGTGCACCGCTTTCTATGAATGGGCGACAGAGAGAGTTGCTTTTATGATTAAAATGAGGTGGCTCTTGGTCAAACACCAACGCTCCAACATGTCTGGCATCACACATCATTGGTCTTTGCTGTCATGTAGACAATGAGCTCTGATTTGAATTGGGAGAACATTTCCTTAAAGCCCCACTGCGCTACTTTATCTACATGTATTTGCACCATCTACATATATAGCAAACGATGCCTAATTGGTGCCTGTTGGTCACCCACTAATCCCATTTTTCTTATGTTAATTGAGAGCTGATTTGATGAGATAACCACCTGTCAGTGACCTTGCAGAAAGGTGTAATCCCCCTGGCCAAACTAGTGCAGACAGGCTTTAAAGGACCTATAAAACTGCCACCACTTTCAAGATTGTATCAATTCAATTCAAATTATTGCAATGTCTATTGTCTATCATTGTTCTAGATAAATATATTTGTACAGTATGTCTGCTCTGGCAGGGGGCAGGGGGGGGGGGTGGGGGGAGGGGGGTCATGAGATGATAAGAGAAAATTTGAAGGTTTTATATTCGCTATTAAAGGGCACTTTTAGTGTAAAATCCTGCTTCAGATCCAAGTAAATCCAGGTTTGTAGACACACACCCTATCACTACCAATTGTATAAGGGAGTTAAAGTTTACAGATACAATCTGCGCATGGGCAGATAAAGGTCATTTGTACCAAAATAATAAAACCCACAGAGATGAATACTGGATATGCGCTCATGATAGTTATGTAACATTATTAATTTATGCACCAACGGTACATTCTTTGATACGCAGGTGGAAGTATTCTTTTCAAGAGGTCAAACAAAAGGTATTCATGAAGCACATCTAGGACTTTGGCAGTTATTATTCTAAGATGCTCAAAGTGGAACTTCTCCATGTGTAAAAGATCTGTGGATATTTGGGGTCATTTGTACCATGTGCTATCTGTAAACTCTCTTATTGCATAGCATACACTATGAACATGACTGACAATGAGAGCGGACAAAATATACAGTTCCTCAGGTAGACAATGGAACATCCCTTCACAGCTATGATGTAAAAAGGTGAATATGCATGTGACACCTGTTCTACACATTTTTACATAATAGCAGTAAGGGATGTTCCTTTGTCTACCTGAGGAACTGTATATTTTGTCCGCTCTCATTGTCAGTCATGTTCATAGTGATAGGGTTTGAACTGACAGACTACAGAGGAGAGACTGCAGTGCACTGTACCCCATTGACCCTGTTACTTACTAGTGTATTAAAGGTAGCTATACCTGGCTCTGATCATGGACTTACTAGTTACGAAATACTGTAGGTCCATGCTCTGACATACTACATGTATTATACCATTAGAAAGTTGAGTTAGGCTTCAATTGAGATACAATTAAATTTTAATTAAAGTATGAAATCAAAGCTTGTCCTTCAGACGAGAGGAGAATGAACCTTGAGATACATTATAAGCTGACTGAGAACAGTCCCATGTATAATGTTTGTAATTCTAAACCTAATCCTCTCCCCCAGACCCCCAGTGGTCCTTTTTTTGTTGAATTAATTGCCAAATTAGCCATTCATACTTTTAATACAAGTAGTTGATTTTACCGGTATGTAGATTTACCAGGTTCTCTTTGAATAGCATAATGTATTCTTGAATATTTATTTGTGATTCTCTGTAAAAAAAACATAATTAATAACAATTTTCTGTGCTACTGTTTTTTGTAAATGCAATAGTAAAAATAATAATACTACCATATTTAAACTTTATGCATGCTTTTTAAACAAATGTTGCTCTTGACACCCTGAAAGCTTGCCCGAGGTTTGCCTGACATAACAACAAGTAATGTATGCAGACTGGATTCCAAGTATGGTATTGTAGTTCATTCGTTTAAATGGGTTAATGGAATAACTCATCTCCAGGTCCCCAGGAAAGAAACATCCATAAATTTCTTATAAAATAAGATAAATTAATAATAATAATAATAGCTAGATCTTATAGCGCTTTCAAGACCGGGTACCCATTCAACACCTGGGTGGAGAGTGGCAAATGTAGATCAATGTCTTGCTAAAGGACATTAGTGCCGCGGTGGGACTTGAACCGCGGCCCATGTGATCCTCAGTCCGTTGACATATCCACTTATCCACGACACCTCTTTATAATATATTGTCACTCTACACTTTATTTCAGGAGATATATCCAAACACCCTGCAGAGTCGTCCCATTACGAGAAGGCGGTGAGGAGGACGAGTGAGAGTACTCAGAAAGCTGGAGGAAGGAGGAAAAAGGATGAACCTCGTAGACACACCCTTTCAAATGGCATCGATTATAATATGGTAAGAACTTCCAAGTTATTTCTGTTGTAATAATCTGAGGGTGAAGGTAAACATGTTCGAGGAAGTTGAAGATATTATTATGAGATGACATTGTTTATAGTAAATGTCTGTGTGGGCATTAAATATATATTGATATAAATATGAGAAAATTAATTCAGAGCGCTACATGTACATGGAATATGCAAGGAGCATGGGTTAAACTTCACAAGCGCTTTCGAGTTATTCTCATCAGGCGAAGTGAGCGTTTCATTGTTTTACATGGCTATATATATATAGATATATATATATATATAGATAAAAGTATGGTTACACAGTTTTCAAATGAGCGCTTATGAATTACAATCCATGCTTCTTGTGTATAATAATATAATATAATATATTTTCTACTATTTTCACCTCGTTTGCATCTCGTTGGACCCTGGTTCCTCTAAGCACTTTCAATATTCTAAAGTGAAAATAGAAGGAAGATTGATCTGTAGTGATTTATGATTATATTACCCATCAATCAGTTTTCAAGAGCATTATGCAAGATTGAAGTGAAAACAAGATACACTTGTAGAAAAAATACAATTCTCAAATATCAAAGGCTTATTAGCTAGTACAAACAAAAAAGAACCTATGATTATAATATTCAATTTCAAGGCCAGTATCCTGACTTTGTATGCTCTTGTGACATTGTGGCAAGGCTATTGTTAATGTGTGTGGAAAATGAGGTGCCCTTGATAGTTAATTGAAATATGATTTACATAGATTAGCATTTTACACATGTACAATGTACACTGTATGAACATGTTGGCTGCCTCTCTGTATCACAGACTCCCAGGCCAGTGATATTAGTTTGAAAAGAGCGGGAGAAAATGAAACCAAACATGTAATTCCTGAGTCAACTTTTCTACGTCTTTTGTGTTTAAAATGACAAATATTTGGTGAGTTATTCATGGGTGACCTGAGAAAAAGTTGAGGTTAGGTCAAGTTGTCTAAGCAACCTTGTTAGAACAGGGAGAACCTTTGTATTAAATGGTAGGAATGATGAATGAGATCCTAAACATGTGTCTGGCATCAAACCGATCAAGGGCTCTCCTTAAACTATGGTAGTCTGTTACCATACACAAAAACAAGACCAGGTAGCTTACGGTATCTGTATGTAGTTATTTTTATTTTGTCAGATTGTATTGATTGTTTGGTCTAATAATGCCCATTCTGTCTACTATCCATGAATTCCATAATCCATATGGTCTAATAATCATTTAATCATAAGCAATAATATTCATTAAATGATTACCGGTATTAGACCTTTTAGAGAGTACTTGTAGACGAAATGGGCATTAGACGAACTGGGAATGAGACTGACTGGAAATTGGACTAAATGAGCAAAGCCAATAGACCAAATGGGTCAGAAACTTATTGGAGATTAGACCAAATGGAAATTAGACCAAATGACTATTAGCTCGAATGGTAATTAGACCAAATGATTAGTCAACATATGGATAGTAGACAGGCTGGGTGTTGTACATACAGGAATAGACCAAATGGCTACAAACGACCTCTACTTGCACCAAGGAGGTAGGATTGTCTATAAAGCTCCTTGGTTGCACCAAAAAAAAAAAAAAAAAAATTCTTTTCTTCTACAAATCTCTGACCTTTGTCAATACTGTGGTTAACCATTTTCCATCAGCTGTACAAAGAGAGTTGACAAAGAAGTTGAAAAAGACATGTTCTATTAATAAAATTCCTTATCATTCCTTATCATTTGTTTGGGTTTGTCCTTTTATTAATGGTAGCATGGACGGGTTTTATATCCTTTAATTATTTACTTGAGAATGAGTCATGGTCCTATTAGCAGCCACTGCTCAGTGTTAACATCATAGAACTGCGAGTGATTCAGAAGGTGGGCAATCCCTTGTTCCCTTTTGAGCTACTTTTGTTTGCTAGGATTTTAGGGTTTGAGTTTACCTGGATTTTTTTTGTTGTTGATAGATTTTATGTGATGGTGCAAAAGGGGGAAAAAGTAAATATAATTAAAGAAAAATAGCGGGAAATGTATTTTCCTGCTGCAGTTTGGCATCTGATCCTTGTTGTAGGCCTGATTAATGATTTCGCTTGTCCTAATTTCTTCTTAATAAATGGGGTATTACTTTGTGTGCTGAATTACTTTCTTTACTGATACTTGAGCAATATCACTCGATACTGATATCAAGAAGCAATATCACTCGATACTGATACCAAGAAGCAATATCAATTGATACTGATAATGACTCTAGGCAATTGGATACTAATTTGTTATGAATCCACCCTCCATGTACCTGTTTTTATGCATCATATACATACCAGAGCCCAGTCTTATTAAGTTATAAAGAGTTAGAATTGATCCAAATCAATAAGTCCTCCAATCAATCGCAAGTTTGCAGTCTCCTATCTCTTATGTACATGTTGCGATTGACATCAACTCTTTATAAGACGGGGCCCAGATCTACAAATGTATACCCTATAATCCCTGCCCTGACTTTATGAGGTTGACAATTATCCTTAGTAAGTCCATGCCAAAACTACTAAATTTGACAATGACACACTAACCCCTTATATTCATTAACCCGTATTCAACTATTTGATGTTAACAAACAATTAACGAGTGATACCTAGATTGTTCTAGTTGAGTATCTTAGTGATTGTACAGGTGTTGTGTACACACCTCTCCGGACTAACCGAGCAACAAACACATTTCTAGACGTATCCTAAAAGTGAGAGAGGCCCCAAATCCCTCCCAATCTCTATATTGAATGATGTCAATTGGCAGAAAGAGTCAAAGATTTAAAGTCGGCGGGATGTCTTAAGACCAGCTTTACGTGATAATTGTAGATAGAAAAAATAAATCTTCAAATAATGGGAATTAGGGTAAGGCAGTAGACTTTTTGAATTCAACACAAAGTGCGGAATGTACGTGTGTTTGAATACCTTTTTGAGCTGTTGCATGTATATTGCTATAGACCTGACTTTAAGAGAATTATTAACCTGTCGACTACTGCATTTTCTCTTTCCAATAGATTTAGTACAGGAACTACCAGGTTCCCATAGCCAATGGGTTAATTAATCACTCACCATTCATCGCCTACTTTTCATCATGACAAAGTGTGTGGAAGAGGACATTTTTAGTGCCTCAGTTTCCCATATATATTTTTCAATTGTCAGAATGGAAATAAGACTAAATGTGCAATAGACCAAATGGGAGGTATACTAATATGAAATGATTATTAGACCATGTGGAATTATGGATATTATCAGCATCTGTTTCTCCTAGAGTCATTTCACATGTGAAATATCTTTATCATGACGGTATAGCTTTCAAAGTTGTAATGGCTGTTGTTCGCACTCTTTCTTTCTCTAAAAGTAGCTCACAACTAATCCTGACCAGTGTCCACGCACGTTAGGATCCGAGGTCGACTTGTTAAGGTCAATCATTACAGACAATTATCATATTATCTATCTTCCCACAATAACAACGATTACGACCAACAAGGAATTTGACAATAGTGAATAGTAGAGGCTACACAACCACAGCTAATGTGTCTGATGTAACAGCCTTCTATGTACAATCAGGCCGTCTGTCTGTACTCTGTAGACATGTTTTTCTTTTTGATTTGATGAAGGCTGAAGAGGATCTGTTTAATCTCCCCTCTAATGAGCCTTGATCAGGTTCATGCGGATAATCTAGGTGTAAACGAACCATGCACTGATTTCAGATGAGCTTACCAGACCAGGCTTCAAAGTGTTTAACAAATTAGTGACTCAAGCTAACTTTAAAGTCAAGAAGACGTACACTGTAAGATAAAAAAAATACCAACCCTTAGACGTCTAGACTATAAGGCGAAACATTAAGACCAAAAGATTATTCAGTTTTGTTTTGAAATGGAAAGAGAAAGCTAGGTTCCACAGCCCACTTGTTGCCATTACTATAAAATGAAATAATGTTTTATCTAGTTCCGATGGTTAGACACTAGACAGAGCCTGTCAGAGGTAGTACATGTAATTACTATTTCTATTCCACTTTTCACAGACACCTCTTCCAAATGAAGTAAGTAAAGATTTTTTTTTGCTTGTGTATTAAAATCTCTGGTTTACCAGAAGATATTTTTGTCTGTATTGTTTTGCAAATTATTTCTGTATATTTGATGTGTTGTTTGAACACTATTATTAGCCCTATAGCCATATGATGATTTTGTAAATGGGTATTTGACTGAAGGTTTTCGCTTGTGAGGGCATGCTCCCTGTAAGTGGTGCTGTGTGTTGTGATATTTTGTTGATCATAAATAGTGGAAACTCAAGTACAAATGCAAAGTAAACAACTGTTTACTTCCTTCCAAGACAAGTTTCTTGGTACAGTGTTCCTATTCGACAGTAGGTTGTGCCTATTATGATAATATGAATGATACTTGTTTGTTTGAACATACAGTACAGTGTATGTAGCACTCATAAATGGTTTATATAATTATAATAGCACTTTACAAACACAAGTAAGCTTGTGGATGTCGTATGGTTTTCTTTTCATGCACAATATTTCCTCCCCTGCGATTAAACCTCATTCAGCTCTCTATATACCTGGTATATGAAAGTTCATAGAAGGTTCAACAAATCAAAACAAGTCAGTTTTTCCTTTTGAAATTTTCAGGATTGATTGAAGTGCAATTTACTGGGATATTCCACATCAGTAAATCTTCTTCTTTGTAAGCTTGTCAGGAATTCTTCCGTTCTAGCATAATCCTGATGAAAAGGAAGACTTGTTTATTTCTTCCATGCAGTCACTATATACTGCTACTCGATCTTGTGTTGGAAAGTTTTTATTGTTATTTGTAGGCCTACGTTGAATTGAATTGAATTGAATTGAATTAAATTGAATTGCCATCTATTGTCCATTCAGGAAATTCCTTTTTTCACTGGTTTTACAATCATTGTACATTATTGTACATGCACATAATACAAGGAGAAATACATTACAATTTATATAG